CTCCTGCCCTCTGCGCATGTCACTCGCATGGGTCCTTGCCGGGCGCCGCTCTGGAGCCCATGCTTTCAACTCTAATTTTGTGAGCTAGCACACCACTGTAGCATTTTAAAAATGCGGTGATAATGGCATTTCAACACGGTGCATGTGCTGAGTAATGTTAGAACCGCACTTTCAATATGCAAGATTCCTGCATGGGATCTAGAGGCCGTGAATCTGTTTGAATGATTTGTTTCTTGATTTTTGGGGTGCCTTAGAGGCTAGAAAGCGATGTCACAATACTGGAAAGTATGTTGACGTACGACCTGGTGCAAATAGGTCAATGAATAGGTGATGGCAGTAGATTTTTCATGTTAATATGGAATTTTTTCATACATTCAGCGATTTCAGCCTAGCAGCTTGGGAGAGTGTGCTAATGACGGTTCTGGGGGGTGTAATAACCAGTGCCTCGGTAGGTACGGAATTGGAAGCCAAAAACACACGTAGAGTAGAACATTATTTACAGCTTATTTTTATATATATTGGATGTTATATGGTTGGATTGATTTACTCTCGAGTCGATACCGAGGTCAATTCCTCACAAGACATGAAGAATATGAAGTTTTAGCATCAACTTTTATGCAATTTGTGTGCTGCATGGAGAAATTTTAGGGACCATATTTATAAATCTAATATTTACAAGAACTGATAAGTGGGAGCGATAGAGGGACTATAGGTTGAACTCGTAGGAAGTTGTTGATTGGAAGGCAGTTTGTAGACAAAAAAATTATTGGTAAAAAGAGGTGTGTCATTATTATGCTTGGATCTCAGTGAGGTATAATTGATTCATTTTTATGTTGTGAGGATGCAGCTCATACTTTATAGAGATGTGGTGTTGTGCTACTTGTATCAGATGTCAATGATGCTTTTGTCGCATCAGTTGGATGTCAACTATGGTACAAGTTTTCAAGGATGAAGGAACGGGGCAGAGATTCGTGGTTAGGGGTTGGTTGTGTGTGTGCGCATAAATTATTTCTGATGACAGTAACGAGTGCAACGATGATGTGGATGAGTTAGGCCTGTAGCGGGTGAGCGTGCGCACAGCCTAAGAGTTCAATAATAGGAGGCAGCTCTATATAACAACAAATGCAGCTTGACTTGTATATAAAAATATGCAGAAGCTTTTGAAAGGCGACAATATCTATACAATTAATCAGGTTTCTCTGAGCAAATTCCAAGTCTGAGTATAATAGCAGTTTTACCAGAAACACTGTAAAAAATGGAATACCTTAAAGTGGAACAGTTAATTGAAGTTGATAGCATTACATTTCTTGAAAGACAGAAATATAAAAAAAAGTACAAGTAATATTTTCGATAATTGATACCCTGCCATAGAGATGTGCCTCAGTCAGTTTCTTAACTCTTTTCTCATCACAAGTTAATTGTAATTTATTTTATATAGGGGCTGTCTTTAGGGTGGATACACCTTAATAAAAGTCACTCGGTTTTTTTAACCATAGTTTTTTGGATATAGTATTTAGACAGCTTTACTTAGATATTGTGTCTTATAACGAATTTACACATATGTTTGGACAAACATAAGGACACACAACGATCACTACAGACATAACATTTATACAATAACAGCAACTCCATAAATTGTAACATAATAATAATAATAATAATAATAAAAGAAATAAATAATAATTTAGTTAATTCTACCATAATATAAATCTATACTATGGAATATTCATAGATTGATATATGCATTTGACCAACGCTTGTTCCAAAGTAAAGTTAATATAAATTGTTAATAGAAGACTTGGGGAGGGGGCCCACTAGCCTGACCACCCAGTGCCACATCGGGGCCATGGCAGAGCAGGACAGTGAGCAGTGCAGTTTAGGACACATTTTCTGGTTCTACTCTTTGGGAAGTCACTATGATCTCTTAGTTCTCATGAGCCGGCAAAATTTGAGTATGAAACTTGATACAATCTATCAGCTAATGATGCTTAGCTTGTTTCACTAACTCAACCATTATCAGCATGAGCAGAATGGAATTATAAGCACACACTCTGTAGATCGATATCATGGAGCCAGATGTACATCTCAATCCTTCCTGGGCAAATTTACACTTGTTAGATTTTGTAGATTTTATATGAAAGTTTAGCTCATGAGGGCTGGAGCAATTATTGTGTTTCAGCTTTGGTCCATGATTTTCTCGGTCCAGAAACTGAAATATTTCAACTAAAAATTATAATATAATGGTCACTATCTGAATCTAAGGACTTTGGTGTTACCTCCAACTGTACCTGTCTATAGTTTAAACTATCCTCAGCTGGACTTTGGCAGTTCTGGTTTTGAAATTTTAATTTATATTCATATTTTAAGCCATATCTCCTCTCAGAATATAATATTACTACTCTATAAGACCTTCATTAAAGTCTATGTATTTTTATAGAATAGTTTTTGTACTCTACATTCTGTGAGCATCTTTCGATGGTCCTCTGCCGCAGGTTGTAAACCTCATTTTTACATACATTAAATAAAACTTATGACCTCTATCGGAGATTAAGGCATTAAATATTTCTACATTCAAGAATGAGATAAGTAGACAGTGACTCTAGGCCTAGATTGAAATTTTGCAATGTGAGAAAAAAAAAAAACAAGCACTGCATTTTGATGACAAAGTAAAACAAGTAACACATACTCAATGATATTGACTGATCAGTCATTGTCAGTCCGATCACTCCCTACCTCTGACATTCAGGCAGTCTCCTCCTGACTTTACCCTCACGGTCCAGCATGTGAAGCTCCCCTCATCCGCATCCTGACCGAGTGCAACGTCACCCGTTTCTCTCCCGACCACCTGAGGCGTCCCACGTATTCTTCCGCCGTCAACCCCGTCTGATGAACAGCCACCTGGCGGAGGCTCTGTAGTTTGCTGCATCTCTGTTTGATTGGCCTGAACCAGACTGGGCCTTGAAATGAACAGATGTTACCAAACAAACACCCATCAGCAATCAGTGTAAAATCTGCCTACAACAAATCAGTAATGTCACAGCAACTGTTGTGAACACCTGTTTGTGACTTCACTGATTAGAGTGTGGACAGAGGTTTGACCCAACAGTTAAACCAGATAGCAAAATACGTCCGGCCCAAACATGGGCCACATGCTTGATTTCTTCTGGCCCAGTACTCGCGCTGTTCTGGGGCCCGAATCTCGAGGCTAACTTCCAATATCTGGACCAATACTTGGTGCACACACAGAAAATGTTAACAGCCGGAATCTGCCGCAGATGTGGAAGAATATGGGCCAGACTTGGGCGAGGACCCAGCATGTGTTGGGCCAGAAATTTCATTTTGCTGTTTGGGAAGCATCTTTTTTTTAGTTCATTCAACAAAGACTGGTACAGATTACCATTGTTACATAAACAACATACAATGCAACACGATTTAATGCATATACGTCTGACTAATGCTAGCATTGAGCCAGCCGACCTTTTTAAATATAGGTCAATACAGCTAAATATTCTGTAATCAATGAAAAACCCAACACCGAAAAAGTCTATGCAAAATTGAGAAAAAAGATATTCCACAAAGGTATTTCAATTCCTGATTTCCATTTATAATCCAATATCAAGAAAAAACAGATAACAGTTTTGTTTTGTTTGTTTTCCGCTTTTTTACTATCAAAACAAAAAATGGTAAAAGGTTGCTTTCCTTTTTTTTTTCTAAATGGTAAATGATTTTGGTTTGCTCATATTCAAAAACAAAATTGTTGGCCGCTAAGTACACAGACCCATGTTGATTAAAAGGTTTACTGAATCTTTTTCTTTCTGTGCTGCTTTCACTGACCATACCTGACTCCAGAGTGATGGGGCCATCAACTTGGTTCAAGTGGATGTAGTAGCTTTCCTCCATACTTCACCACTTGCTCCACAGCGCAGTTGATCAACAGGACAAGAGGAAATGAGGTAAAATCAGGAATTATGAGTTGAAAATCATTGTGTGCAAATAAACTCTGTTGTTGAGGAAGAGTATCAATGATGAGAGAAGAGTCTTATGTGTTGCTTGTACGATTCCTAAACGTAAAATCGTCAGGAGCTATCTGTAAGTTTTGCTATTGCTAAAGCTAACGTTACCATTAGAAGTTGTGTACTTACCAGTCTAGAACAAATGCTGCGCTCCGGAGCTGTCTCCATGGTAGAAAGCAACTCTCTTGTTTTGCCTCTATGTCTATCACTTTCCTTTCTTCTACTGAAGTTAGCATGCTAACTAGCTAAACACACTGTCTTGTCACTTTCGCGATAATGAGTGACTGAACGGTCCAGTCTGAAGACGTAGCTCTCAGAGAAGTATTATAACCTCTTGTCTGTAAACACAACAATGGCTGAGCTCTTGCCAAGACTGGTAAGTAAACAAATGTCAATGCTAATGTTAGGCTTGTAGCAATAGCAAAACTTACACATAGCTTGTTTAACAGAATCTTCTGTTTTATCTATCTAGTCTAAATACTCCTGTTTAAAATCAATCTCTGCAAATATAAGTAACATGGTGGTAGGTAGCTGGCTAAGCTTGATTCCTTTTCAAAAGCTATGAAGACTGCTTAGCTAACCTAGCAACAGAATCATCAGGAAACAGTACCCAAACTAACACATCAGCAATCAGTGTAAATCCTGCTCAAACCAATCAGTAATGTCACAGCAACTGTTGTGAACACCTGTTGTGACTTCACTGATTAGAGTGTGGACAGAGGTTTGACCCAACAGTTAAACCCAGATAGCAAAATAAATCCGGCCCAAACATGGGCCACATGCTTGTTTTCTTCTGGCCCAGTACTCGCCCGGTTCCGGGGCCCGAATCTCGGACGCTACTTCCACATCTGGACCAATTCTGGTGCACACACAGAAAATGTTAACAGCCGGAATCTGCCCAGATGTGGAAGAATATGGGCCAGACTTGGGGCGAGGACCCAGGCATGTGTTGGGCCAGAAATTTCATTTTGCTGTTTGGGAAGCATCTTTTTTAGTTCATTCAACAAAGACTGTACAGATTACCATTGTTACATAACAACATACAATG